TGAACTGTTTTCTCTCCTTGACAACACAAACCTCTCCAGCTGTTTTTGTTTTTTGCTTTATGTTGTTGTTTTAATAATGTTGACTCAATTACACACATTCATATGACATGATATACAGAACAGTACAAGGCTTTTAAACACGTCCTCCTGGACAAAAGTCAGTGCCAAAGGCGAAACAGTGCCACAAATATGATGACCTAAATGGTCCAATTCATGTATTAAAGCATCTAATCTACTCAATTCATTTTGTTTTATGGTCCTTAGACATTTTCCATTCTTTACCAAAAAAGATTCTTAGAAGATGAATGAGTTATAAATAAAAAAAAGTTAAAGCATGTGGAAAGTGTATTATATATTAACATTGAATGGACCCTGTTCAGCTCAGTTACTTATTATCCTGAATGGGAGACTTGGTTGGCACTTAGGGGCACAAGATTAAAGAAAGATGACAAAAGATGAAACCAAAAACAAACCAAAAAAACCCCCAGACACCTATAGCAGCTGAACCCTGGAGGAAGAGGGTTCAGACTCAAAGGCAAGAGGTGGCCTGTGCACTCTCATATATAGAACTGTCCTGCTGGTCATAGCTGTCAGAGGGGTCTATGGAACAACTATCAACCTACCAGCTGCCTTCATAATGCAGCTGAGGCATCAGTTTGCAGTTTACATTAACAAAAATGTAACTCTATGTTTTCTGCATCTGCATGGATTCTGTGAGACATCTTCTGGCCGAGTCTTTAAAGGTTCCTGCTCATCTCTCTGTTTATGTTTACATGCAGCCCAAAGTTAGTGGCCGATGTCACTCATTTGTCTTCAGTCATTTAGTCAAATAATTTTTTCTGTCATTAAGACTGCAAGCACAGCAACTGGCAAATGGTGCCTAAAACAAATGAGCAGAGATTCTGCATAATTTATCTTTAAAAGACTTGTAATCTAAGTAGTCGCTGCCAGACTTTGGAGGTGCTTCGATTCGTACATGCTTTCCACCAACATAGTGGGAAGTTCTAAATTCTCAAGACATCCTGTGCTGTGTTTGCCCACTGTGCTTGTGATGACAGGGCAGCAACCTTCAGCAGCAGGCAGGTCCACAGCACACCTCAGGAAGGAGCACGGACACGATGCTACAGCCCAATCTGTAACCAGCTGTTATATCCAGTGCACAGCCTTTCAGAAACAGCCACAGGAGCCCCCAGTGTTTTTCTGTGCTCAGTAACGGTGACAATATGACACGTATCTATCAGTAGAACTCCTGCACTTCTCTGCTCAAAGTCAGCATCATGGCTGAGCATTTCCACCTTAAAACCACACTGAGTCAGACAGCCAGGCTTGCGTTACAAATACTAAGAACCAATCCTGTCAGCTTGCAGGTTGGGACTTTCTGTATCCTTACTCTTCTTCAGAATCTGTTTCCCATTGGAACATTTACAGAGTTGGAACAGAGTCCTCGTTGAACTGGGATGCTCAGCTCCACAGGAGAGACGTACATGGGAACTATTTTAAGGCATCTATACACAGAACTGTGATTTCAGGCTTTAACCTATGCCTGGAGACCTCCAGACACATACAACACAGGAGCTAACATCCTCTGTTGCTGCTGTAACTTTACCTTTGGCTCTCTGGAACCCACAGTCATAAGAAATGACAGCAATGACAGGTCAGTCCACACAGACCGCTGCATTTTACTGACAGTAATGATGGATCACACATTACAGGGAAACAAGGCAGGGATCATCAGTGTAGCTGTGAATGGAACAGCCTGGTGGCAGGCAGCCAGAAGAAACACCAAGTGACAGTGCAGAAGACAGACTGCCAAGCTTCCGTTGGACATGTGTTGAAGTCCTTGTCACACGTTTGGTGTAGATGAGTGTGAGCCGACAGACACAGAGCAGGTCTGGGAACGTAACGGTGGCAGAGTAGGACATAAATACAGAGAATGTAATTGGTAGGAAAGTGCAGTATGCACATATACCGAGATCAGCTGGTAGTTTGTATTTAGAGTCTGTGACCTGGTAGACTGTCTACAATGACAAAGGAGGGATGAGATCAAGGGGATCAAACAGTAGGTGGTAGCATCTATCCATCTATCCAGTAATAAGGAAAGTATTACAATATATTTTTTCACATGACATTAACATAAAATCAGTCACTATTTTTACATAATATACTGAATATTAAAGAAAACTCCTCATTCCAAGTGTTCCTCAGGGGGGTTGTTTATTGTCTTTAATCTGATACTCTCTCCCTCACCTATAAATGTCTGATGTAAAGCATAGTGAACTGCCCTGTTGAAAGCACTGCCGTGGTTGTTAAGGCATGTATCGATCAAACAAACTGTATTGATGCAACAACGTTCACACAGGTTCGTACAGGTCTGTGTAGTTTCACAATGGGTTTGTACACACAAGAGTAATAACACTGGGATATCAAACAACATGTGAACAAGATTAGACTGTTTGTAAAGCAGAATATAAAAAACTAAAAACCATAGAACAGATGAACAAACCTTTATATGCACTAAATGCTCTGTTTTAATAGAGTTTGGGGTTTTCATGCTAACTTTATTACTTTATTTGTCATCACCATCAGTAAGTACATTTATGGACTTTATAGTTCTTCTCTACTTGGACTACATTTTATCATTTCCTGTTATAACTGACGCTGAGTTGGCCTCAGCACTGAATGTTGCACTTTGCAACAATTAAAAGGCTTTATAAAAAAAAGAAGGAAGTTTTATGACGCTCAGGGCCTCAGTGCTCTGGTTTCCAGGTCAGACTAAAGGTGGAGGCAGTTTGACTGCTATCTGTCTGTTTAGGAGGAGGTTCAGACCAGTTCTATGTGAACCTAACCTCCAAACAGACTGGTTTCTTATCTCTGCCTCTTGCTCGTCAGCCTGTCCTCCACCCTGACTATCTCCCTGCTCCTGCTGCCACTGTGTGTGAATGAAAAGCTTCCGCCAGCCTCACAAACGCTCACACAAACAGTTGTAGGTAAACCTTTGCAATGTTGCCACACATTTGCAGCTCATATTTTTTATATGCAAATTAGATTCATGGCAGATGCCTGGATAGTGCAGCAGGTTGGGCGGGCGGCCCATGAACAGGG